TTACAATACCCTGAAAAAATAACATAATAAAAACAAAATGTACTTTAAAGTGTAAAATAATTCAAAATCACTCCAGCTATTTTCCCCCCATATTCCCACCATGCTTTATGGTGGGAATAACTGAAGGTGGGGACAAAACAAAACCCCACATTATTGTCTGTTCAAAGTTAAGAGTCCACAGCTACAATTTTACTGACTGTGCTCAAAACAACGTGATCATTGATAGATAGATCTTTATTTGCCATTTGTGCATTTACTAGCAGTTTATACACATTGGAATTCTTGTGTGGGCATCTCTCCTAGTCACAGGATAGAAGACAGAACAGTAATGATAGAAAAGCATTATAAGGTCTAAGAAAACAGTATGAGAACAATAAAAAAGTAAAAAAAAGGAAATATATGATATTTCCTTTAGTACTTCCTTTAGTGTGCTTACACATAAGCACACTAAAAAAGAATAAAAAATTTAAAAGATAAATTTCAGCACAGTACATGGTGTGGCACAATAGCAGCACAACAGTACAATCAGTGTGTCAAATGTAGGACCTGTATGCAACTTAGCAGCATTTCACATTTCTTAAGGATGAATGAATGAATTCATTGCACTTAATCTTCACTAAAACAAGAGTGTTAATAGATTAAACATCACTCTACAAACAAGAGCAAAAATAAATAGTAAGAATCAGTCAGTTAATTATTAATATTTTCTACAGTCTGATCATCATGTGGAGATTAGCCTCTCTCTCCTGCAGGGAGCAGGTTTTTATCACTGCACTCGTCGTGTCGCTCTTATTCCAAAACAAAATCTGCACTCTTCCTTTCTTCTGTCCATCAAGAGATAATCCACGGGCAACATTCAGCTGATGTCAAAACCATAAAAAGCGTGCTGTCCTCGCTTCTGCTCGCTAGAACCACCGGACTGAGAGGAGGTTCTGCTCAGTTGGAATCATGGAGACACTTTTGGACCGAGGCTGAACCGAGCCGAACCYCAAAGCTGCTGCCAGGGTGGAAAGTAGTTGTAGCTCTGGTTTAAAATGTTCATAGTTCTGTGTTCCCCCTCGGAAAACTTGTGCGTGACAACTTTGCACTTCGCTTCAACTCTGTTTCTGATGAAAAATTGAAAGTTCTGCCAAAATTCTTGCTAACTTGTTAGCGCAGCATGTTGTTGTGATCACGTGAGCTCTACAAGCAGGATCCAAGCTCTGCTGGATAGAAACACTGGAGCGGAGTCAGTGAACTGCTGGAACGGACTGCTAATATCGGAGCGCTTATATCGGATATTTTTTATGCAGGCCGATAAAATCCGGTACTCGTTTTTTGGCTGATATCGGACCGATATTCGATATCAATATCGGATCGGGACACCCCTATTTTTTTTCTGCTAATTTTATATTTTTTATACAACTTTCACTATCTGGGTGTTAACTACAACTTGTGGCTGCTACTTTTCGCTAATTTTTTTGCAAATTTTAGCTTATTTTTTCTTTTTCAGCTTTAGATCTGCTTCTTTCCGTTATTCTTCTGATGTTATCTACTTTTTGTGTTTTTTTCTGCTAATTTGTTCTATTTATGCTTCTTACACACGTTTTCAGCTATTTATATACAGCTATTTTAGCTTTTAGCGGTTTTCTGTTTTCAACTAGATTTGAGCTGCTTTTTACTGTTTTTTTGCAAAGCGAGTTTTTCTTTCTTTTTTTGCTTTCAGCTTTTCAAAGTGAGCTCACACTAAAACTTTTGCTATTAAATTTTTTCAGCTTATTTTTTCAGCACGAAGCATTCACACTAGCATTTTCGCAGGAAATGCAATTTCTCTAGTTCCGCTTGGAAAACCCATCCGAGAAAAATAAAAACCTGTTCTACAGAACAATATCAAATTACATTCTGTCCATCAAACACCCAGCCTCAGACTCCTGAGCTCACCTTATCCATCATCTTTTTGGTCTGTCCGTAGCGGATCTTGAGACGCCTGGCCTGGTAGTCGGTGCAGTTCGAGCAGGAGACCAGCTCTCTGAAGGCACCTGAGCCAGGAAACCAGGCTTCCAGGTCCAGCTTCTTACTGGCTGCGTGGTTTAAGGCACCTGCGGGGAGGACAACAAAGCACACCGTTAGCCTGATAACCTGATCTGGGTGTGAACAAAACATGTCTCAGGTTTCCGGGTCTTTACAGGCAGTAAAAACTGCGTGGTGTGAGAAATACCGGAGACGATGTTGACGATACGGTAAGGAATTCCCAGCGACTGGTAGAACTCCTCCGCCGTTCCGATCATCTCATCGAACATTTCCCAGGATTTACCGTCGTGTGGGGAGGCGTAGACGAACTGCTCTATCTGCAACACGGAAACACGAGGATCAGGTCCGAGAAATCGTAACAAAACATTCCTAAAACATGTGGAGGACAAAAAGCGAAACGAACGCGAGAGAAATACGCTGACCTTCTCGAACTGGTGAACCCTGAAGATCCCACGGGTGTCCCGCCCGTGGGAGCCCACTTCCTGTCTGAAGCAGGTGGAGAAGCCGGCGTAGCGGATCGGCAGGTCCTCGGGCTTCAGCCATTCTTCCCTCAGGAAGGCTGCGATCGGCTGCTCGGAGGTGGCGATGAGGTATTTCTCATCTATGGCGCTGTCGTCTGATTTCTCGCTGCTCTTACCGATCACCTGAAATAAATAAACACAAATAAGAGGACGTGGAGATCAGATTTTTTAGAAGTGTTTTTTTCTTCTTCTTCTTCAGGACAATTTTTATGCAGTTTCAAAAAAGAAAGAAAAATAACATCTATAAATGTAAGAAACTTGGCATAATCCACACAGTTTGGAAAAAAGAGCGCACGAAACACTTAATTTGGTTTAAAATAAAGACATTCTGACAAATAAGTATCTGTTTGTAACCTTACCTCAGCTTAGGAAGCAGAGGGTGTCGGTCTTTTCTGCTCACATTCAGCTATCGGAGCATGAAGCTAATGTTTACTCACAATGCTAATGCTACCCTTACTCTCTGGTGCTCAAGAGGTAGAGGAGCCAAATGTCTGGCTCACTGCTGCCAACTAGTGGTCAGAGGCTGAACTACAACATAAAAATGAAAGGCTGGCAGGAAAGTTGACATTTTAAAACTTAATAAAAAATCGATACAGGGCTTTAGAATAGCAATACAGTATCGGGAAATGAAATATCACGATATTTCAGTGTATCGATATTTTCTTACACCCCTACAGTCTGTGTTGTTAGCTGTAGCAAAGCTCTGTTCACATTCAGCCATTCCCCTTTGACATCACTTCCTGTTTCTTCACTTACAAATATCTCAACAACTCTTGGTCTCAGCAACGTGAATTTTTTTAACAGTGTGTTACCAATGTTAACTTTACAAAAACGCATTCATATTTATTACAAAAATTTGACGTCACGGACACTTTAAGTTTTGACAAGAAGTTACGGAAATCAGTAAACTGTTTGCAAACCTTATAAAGCTCTTCGTCAAACTGGCTGAGCTGGGCCACTTCCTGCATGACCTCTTTCCTCATGAAGAACGGCGTGTACAGCATGGTGTAGTGTTTGCTGTAGAGGATCCTCAAGGCGTAGTTGATCAGGGCCTGCTCCAGGAACACCAGAGGGCCCTGAACACAACCCGGACAAGAAGAAACAGCTGATTTCTAAACTTGCAGGTCATTTAATAAAGCATTAAATCCTCTCTTTTAGGCGTGTCTGTACAGTCTGTAGCAGGGGGGATGGGAAAACGCGGGCCTGTTTGTGCTCATCTGCAGCTGTGTTTAAATACTCACCTTTAGGAAATAGCCTCTGCTCCCAGCCACAACGGCTCCACGCTCTCCATCGAAACCATCGATCATGACCACCAGGTCAACGTGAGAGTATTTCTTCTGAGCGCTGCAGTCCCCCCAGGTACGCTCCACTTTGTTGTCTTCATCCTGACAAGACAGAAATAAACCTCATCACATGCATGATAAAATAAAAACATCAATTTGCTAACTCTTCAGTTTGTCACGAACCACTTACCTCATCATTGCTGATGGGTACAGACGGGTGCAGCAGGTTGCCGATCTCCCTCTGGTACTCGAACCTCTGCGCCTCCAGCTTTAGCCTCTCTGCGTCGGTTTTCTCCGCAGCTTCTTCCACAAGCAAACGCACTTTCTTGACCTGTGTAACTGTGAGGGCCTGTAGCAGCGAGGGGTGGAAAAAAACCCCATCAAGACACGATTAAAGGAGAAACAGCAGCATGCACCGGGTTCTGTTCCTCATACCGATAAAGTTTCTGCTGTTAGAACCTCCAGGTTCTGTGCTTCCTCTGGTACAGACTCATCGTCCCCAACTGGTTCCTTCCTCTGTAAAAACACGATTACTGCAGGTTAAAGATGCACAATTTGACAGTTTAAACTTGTTTTTTTTTTTTAATTCTGACCAGTGATGACATTATTCTTAATGCTAATAATATTCCTTTAAAAGATGTTTCACTTCTTAATTTAAAAGTTTGAAAGTGCTGACGCAGATCACAAGTCTTATACCGTCCTTGTGTTTGAATTGTCCAAAGCTCCCAACCTGTCACATACAATTAAAGAAGCCTTTTGGAAAAGCAAAATAAGACTTACGTTTAGACAATAAAAAGATTAAAAATCTACACTGACACAGCAAACATTGACTTTGGATCATTATCAGCTCTTTCATGTCCGTACCTTCATTTTCTCCCCGATGCTCTTGCTACAGAGATTCTTCAGTTTGTTCAGGTTGTCCGCAGTGAAGCGGCCTGTCAGGGGTTAAATTACATCTGTCAGTAAAGGTGCATCATGGGAGTAGTGTGTGTGTGTGGCTGAGCTACAGCTATTAACCTGGTGACAGCTGTCATCAGCAGCAGCTGGTTTATCTTGTAATAATAATAAAAACTTACAAAGAAATTATGGTTGCTAATGACATCACAAGGAGACTGATTAGTGTAAACACGTGGAAGCAGAATTAAAGTGTGTGTGGCTGCGCTGCAGGGCGAGGTTGATGCCGGCTGAGATTGCATCAGATTATTTGTATGATGTCAAGCTAACTTTTATTACCAAACTATATGTAATTGTCTGTAAATTAAAAACAATGTTTGGTGGACTGAATGACATGCTATTAAAAAGCAAAGAAATATGTACTAATATAAAAAAGTGCCACTTATTGATTGAGAGGATTTATTACTGTTTGGCTAAATTTGTGGTAGCTAGCTAAGCTAACATCGTTAGCATCACTGCGTGCTTCGCCAGCTTTTCTAAGCAACACTCAAATTAAAATCTAAATCAACGCTAAGTAGTGGCCTAATGACAACTAAAGCAACCTTGTAGTTTGAGGTTAAATATAAGTACAGCCTGGAGATGGACGTTAGGTCTTCCCTTGTGCTAACCTTAGCCTCATTAGCAATAGCGCTAACACCAGCTAGCCGCTAAGTCTCAAAACCACAGGGACGTAAAGGCTGGCTTACATTTTCTCCACTCTGTGTCCGCGGCGACCAGTTTATCGACCAGAGTTGCATCTTTAAACCTCTTCCTCTGAGTCTCACGGACGATTTCTGGGTCGCCGCCCTTGTCGGTACGAAATAAGTCCAAATCGAGAACCATCTTTGCACCACACCGCCGGTCAGAGAGACTGAATGAAACCACACGGGTGACGCCGCAACGCCGGGTTGCCAGGTTTTGTAACTCAAGTAAGAAATACGATTTTTCTTTTACCACGGTGCAAACATTTATTTGTGTTTATAATAAATATTTGTAATCCAAGTTTTATGCCGAATTAGAATTTCTAATGACGTTTTTTTTTTCAAATGAAACTGATAAAAATCTATACCAATACGAAAAAACAGATTTTATTATAATCTGGCAACTTTCATAACACCTGCAGTGTTGGTTTTAACAGACAAAACATGACTAATTTATGCCTTCATTCATGTAATTTTGATAGTTATTTCAAATTTGATAGTTATGTAAAATTTTTTAGTTATAATTATTATTTTTATTACACCGCTTCTGTTCCTAGAGCTTCAAATCACTTTTTTTTCCAGATACAGTTGATGTGTACTGAAAATATATTTTCTTCCGGTCCTGCAAAATTTGACAAAACTTGTTTTCTATATGCTTTAATAGATGCTTAATACACAAAGAAAAGTGTTTCATTAAAAAAAATGAAATTCTGTATATTACAATGCAATTTAAATATATCTGTGACCTCACTTTAGCATAAAAATACAGAAGCTAAGATATCTTCATTTTTAGACGACTGAAATGCATACAGATAAATGGCTGTAAACACAAAACTGTATTATTTTTGTAATTTGTTATTCTCAAAAAGTAATTTCACAGACTAACAACATAAAGTGTAAACATAGCAGCTTCTTACAAAACATAAATAACAAGACACTTTTTCAGAAAATGTTCTGTTGATATAAACTGGATGCAGAAAGTGTGTTATACACAAGTCGTAGTGCATAGTTACATATATTTAGGAGCTAATGTTTTCTCAGCTGACAACACCCATGATGATGTGGATTAAATATCTCCTCAGTCACTCGGTCTTTTTGCCCTCATGACCATCCCAGCCTCATGGATCGCCCTCTGCAGAGCAGCTCCTGCAGGTACAGAAGCAAACCCCTCCTCTGTGATGTGGTTTATCTTCAGGTAACTCCCCGGTCTGTGCAGGGCCATTCCATGGAGGTGAGAGAAGAGCAGCGGTAGGTCCCTCGTCAGCTTGTAGTGAGACACCAGCCTCAGCTCGGTGGGGATGTCCATTTCCTCGGAGTACTCAAAAACAGCCGCCATGTACCTGGACAAGTCCCGGCCCCTGGCTTTGGTACGTCCCACCTCTTCTCCAATAAGCCGGACGACTGCCTCGGAAATGTGGGAATGTGACCGCAAACCCGCCGCCTCCTCCTCCTCGTCGTCTTCTTCGTTGTTCCCTGGCTCTACGGGGTCACGACGTGTGCCGAACCCCTGAGAGCACATCACCAGGATGAAGTCGCTGTCCCGGATCTGTCGGCAGTGCCAGGCCATGCTGCCCTCCTCAGCGATGCTCAGAGAGTCCCAAAGGTCCAGGCACACCTGAGAAGAAATACAAGGAGAAGAATCATGACAAAAAGATGTGCAGTAATTTATCTAAACTCGTATTAATCACAATCAGGAAAGCATGGACTCGACTTCGGAACAAGCAGCAGACAATGGATTAATGAATCTCATAAAACACTCAGTATGGTTTGTTAATTTTGCAGAAACGACAATAATAAAAAGATGTAGTGTGCACGGTACCTGAGTTGCCATGTGCTGCTGTATGAAGGCTGCTAAATGCACGACAGCGTTAACGTGACACGGCTCGTCGCAGCTGCTGTAGCAAATCAGAAGACGTGGAGGAGTCAGCCGGGCTCTGGGCAATGACATCACTTCCTCTTTAGTCTCATTCTCTTCCTGCAGCCTAATAACTTCTACATGAAAGAGCAGCAATGCAAGGTTAGGCATTCAAACTAACATAAATCAAAGAATTAGTGACCAGGAAAAGTCAGCTTTTAGCTTAGTTACATGATGTGTTTTCACCTGGTTTTATTTCAAGATTCTTCCTGTGCGTCTTGGACTTCAGACGAATGAGAGCAGCCAGTGAGAGTCCAAGTATGAAGACCACAACTAGACACAGTGGGACCACCATGGCCAGGGAGGCGGGGTCGGAGGCATCCTCTGAGGGTGGAGGATCTGTAATGAGATGATGAAGCGAGTGATGTGTGTTACATATAACTCATTTTCCCAAGAAAACCATCAGGACATTAACTCGTTATCTCAAGAAAACATTCATCGTATTTTTGTGATAACAACATAATTAACTCGTTATGTCAAGAAAACACTCATCGTTACTTCATGATAACGACATAATTAACTCGTTATCTCGAGAAAACGCTCGTGTTTTTGTGATAACGACAGAAATAATTTGTTATCTCGAGAAAACGCTCGTGTTTTTGTGATAATGACAATTAGCTCGTTATCTCAAGAAAATGCTCATCGCATTTTTGTGATAACGACAAAATTAACCCGTTATCTCTAGAAAACGCTCATTGTCTTTTTGTGATAATGACAATATCTCGTTATCTCGAGAAAACGCTCATGTTTTTGTTATAATGACATAATTAGCTCGTTATCTCGAGAAAACGCTCATCGCATTTTTGTGATAACGACATGATTAACTCGTTATCTCTAGAAAACGCTCATTTTGTTTTTGTGATTACATAATTAACTCATTATCGAGAAAATGCTCATCGTATTTTTGTGATAACGACATAATTAACTCGTTATCTCTAGAAAACGCTCATTGTGTTTTTGTGATAATGACATTATCTCGTTATCGAGAAAACGCTCGTGTTTTTGTGATGACTTAATTAACTCGTTATCGATAAAATGCTCATCGTATTTTTGTGATAACGACATAATTAACTCATTATCTCTAGAAAACGCTCATTGTGTTTTTGTGATAATGACATTATCTCGTTAGAGAAAACGCTCGTGTTTTTGTGATGACTTAATTAACTCGTTATCGCGGGAAAACGCTCAGTGTTTTTGTGATAACGACATAATTAACTCATTATCTCAAGAAAACGCTCATCGTATTTTTGTGATAACGACATAATTAGGTTATCTCGAGAAAACTCTCATCATGTTTTTGTGATAATGACATAATTAACTCGTTATCTCAAGAAAACGCTCATCGTATTTTTGTGATAATGACATAATTAACTCATTATCTCGAGAAAACGCACATCATGTTTTTGTGATAATGACATAATTAACTCGTTACCTCAAGAAAACACTCATCATATTTTTATGATAACAACATAACTCATCGCGAAAACGCTCATTGTAGTTTCGTGATAACGACATATTTAACTCATTATCTCGAAATCCAACCTAATTAATCCACATATATACCCCCATATAGATTACACCGTCATACTCATTTATACAATCCCATATATAGTGTTACGGTATCTGATAATTTTTGTACTCAAGTACTAAAAGTACTAATATTGATTTAAAATGAGCAATTAGATTTTCAGAAATGACTTTTATTAGGAGGTGACCTCCCCAAAACATGCAGAAATTAGTATATATTAAAATTATTAATTGGTTAAATTTATGATGCACTAGTCCAGCTGTTTCAGTTTAAATACATAGAAAACACTCATTGTTTTTTTGTGACGACATAATAAACTTTTTATCATGAGAAAATTCTCATCGTAATTTCATGTCATTTTGTATGTCGTTATCACTAGAAAACCATGGAAAAAAATTTCTGCGGAAAATGTCCACTCTTGGCTTCCATAGACAGCCACCACTTGTTTGTGGATAAACTGAAAGCAATGTCTTTTAAGTTGATTCAACATGCAGGTGGAAAATCAGTCGTTTCTTAAACAACTGGATTTTGCACATCATCACCGCTAACTTTTATTAAACAGAACAATTCATTTCATGCAGTCTTGAAGAAAGGCGTGTCTGACATGTCATCATCTTCATGCTAACTCATAGGAGACTGCACATTATTAGGAACGCAGTTTTAAGGTTCTTTCATGTTGACACGTGTTTCCTGTGTTTTTCCATGTCCTCTGTAGTGGGCACAGCTAACCAAAATATTACCTTCAATAACCTTTAATCAGCCACACATATTACTTTGCTTCGCTAATGCACAATACACAGACAAAAAAATTGGTGGAAACCGCCAATATTAACGTCCACCAATGCTCTACATCTCTGTTCCTCTCCACAAGCTGGCACAGACGGTTCCCTCTTGATGTCTTCAACACAGATTTCAAACCAAACCTGAATCTGTAATGTAACAACGTGAGTGAACACATCTCAAAATGGTTCATAAATCACAGATCAAAGCCTTCACATCGCGTTCAGGGGTGAGCTTTTAGAAAATAATTTGTTTGAGCAGAGCCAAGAGGCGGAGCCAGAACTGACAGCACGGGAGAAGAAAAATAAAAAGTGAGGATGATGTCACCATGTGACCCATCATCACCTGCTTGCACAAGGTACTGCGTGGCTCAGCATATGGTTGCTACCTGTTAAAGACCATTTCTTTGTGTTTGTTTAGTTTGAAGTGCAACATGTTCAAAAATCATTAGCAGAATATAAAATTAACTGTAATTTATATTGGTGGAAGTGGAGTCTGTTACTTTTTAATAATAATAGCGTAAGTGCTGAATAGAAAAGTCAGCACTGTGCTCACTAATGCATGACTCTTGGCAGCAGTCACAACTGACAAACGGACGTTATTTACAGTCATAACGTCACTTTCTGTTTTTGTAGCAAAAGGTGAACAGCTTGGAAACTTCCACGATTAATCAGTAGGGGTGTAAGAAAATATCGATACACTGAAATATCGCGATATTTCATTTCCCGATACTGTATCGATATTCTAAAGCCCTGTATTAATTTTTATTAACGTTTAAAACGTCAACATTCCTGCCAGCCATTCATTTTTATGTTGTAGTTCAGCCTCTGACCACTAGTTGGCAGCAGTGAGCCAGCCACTTGGCTCCTCTACCTCTTGAGCGCCAGAGAGTAAGGGTAGCATTAGCATTGTAAGTAAACATTAGCTTCATGCTCCGATAGCTGAATCTGAGCAGAAAAGACCGACACCCTCTGCCTTCTAAGCTGAGGTAAGGTTACAAACAGTTACTTATTTATCAGAATGTCTGTATTTTAAGACAAATTAAGTGTCTTGTGTGCTCTTTTTTCCAACTGTAGTCAGCTTTCACGTTATGCATATAGCCATGCGTCTATCT